CAAATTGTAAAAGAGAATGCAAACTGACCGGGACCACACTGTTCTAAGAACTTCCCGTGTGGCCACTCATTTAATTTTCATGACCACCTTACCCAGTGGGTATAATGAACATCCCCATTTTACAGGTGAGGAGACTGAGGCACAGAGAGGCAGGTGGCCCACCTCAAGTCACACAGCCAGCACCGGGCCTGCTTTTGTTTCCTTCCCTTGTCTGGCCCAGCCCTTCTCCTCAGTCACCCAGCCTCTTCTCTTGCCTCAGACTCTTCCACGCTGCTGCCCCCAAGGAGTCCCAGGGCCTTGGAGGCCACAGCTCTGCCAGCCCCCCAGGCCCCCCTGCTGCTCCTCTTGCTGCTGCTGCTGCCCGTGGCTCTCCTGCTGATGGCTGCTGCCTGGTGCCTGCACTGGCAGAGGAGGAGGCGGAGGACAGCCTACCCTGGGGAGCAGGTGAGTCTGCAGGTGGACAGAGGGCATGGGGAGGTCTGGGGGGTGGCGGCCACAGGTGACCTGTGCCTCCAGTCTCCAGGATGTCCTGCCCCTGTGGCTCGTGGAGTGTGGACTCATCTTGGTGAACCCTTCAGCAGGCTGAGAACCCTGGACTTCGTTGTGGGGGGGTGCTGGGGCCAGGAGGGAGGACAGACTGGAGGCTGGCTGAGGGTCCAGGGTGAGAGGACAAGGCCTGAGTCAGGGCTAGGACCAGCATCATGGGGATGGAGAGGAGGGTCAGGCAGAGTCAGGGGTCAGGGATCAAGAAGGACAGGGCTGGGGCGCCTGGGTGGCTCAGTGGGTTAAAGCCTCTGCCTTCGGCTCGGGTCGTGATCCCAGGATCCTGGGATCAAGCCCCGCATCGGGCTCTCTGCTCAGCGGAAACTCTGCTTCCTCCTCTCTCTCTGCCTGCCTCTCTGCCTGCTTGTGATCTCTGTCTGTCAAATAAATAAATAAAATTTAAAAAAAAAATAGGACAGGGCTGGAGGGTCCACAGCTGGCTCAGTCAGTGGGGTATATAACTATTTTTTTTTTAAGATTTTACTTTATTTATTTATTTGACAGAGAGAGATCACAAGTAGGCAGAGAGGCAGGCGAGGGGGCAGAGAGCCCAACACGGGGCTTGATCCCAGGCTTGATGGAGCCCCGCATTGGGCTCTCCGCTCGGCAGGGAGCCTACTTCCGCCGCCCCCCACCCCCGCCTGCCTCTCTGCCTACTTGTGATCTCTGTCAAATAAATAAATAAAATCTTAAAAAATAATAATAAAAATGAAAAATAAAATAAAATCTTAGGGCACCTGAGTGGCTCAGTGGGTTAAAGCCTCTGCCTTCGGCTCAGGTCATGGTCCCAAGGTCCTGGGATTGAGCCCCCGCATCAGGCTTTCTGCTCGGTGGGGAGCCTGCTTCCTCCCCACCCCCCGCCTGCCTCTCTGCCTACTGGTGATCTCTGTCTGTCAAATAAAGAAATAAAGTCTTTAAAAATAAATAAATAAAATAAAATCTTAAAAAAAAAGGACAGAGCTGGAGACTGACAGGCTTGGGCAGGTGGCACAGATGACCCTGGGTCTGGCCCAGTGGGAAATGTGGGGGAGCAGAGAGATTAGGGAAAGAGGGTGAGCTCAGTGGGGATGGGGGAGGCTGTGAGGGTCCCCAGGGGAGCTATTTGGCTACAGGAGTCTGCAGGCCCAAAGAGAGTGGCCTCCTGAAGCAGGCGGAGAGAACCACCTCTGCAAAGCCCTCCAGGTGTGAAAAAGCTCTGGGTGTTCCAGTAACTTCAGCGAGCCCGGGGTGGGTGTGAGTGTGGGTGTGAAAAGTCTAGGCCTCAAACATCGAGCAGGGGAGCTGGGACTTCCTGCCCAGGGCAGCAGGGAGGCAGGGGAGGTGAGTGATGGAAGACAGGTGTGGAGGCAGGAGTTAGGTGGGCCAGGAAGGAGGAAGCTGGGGAGGCCCTAGTGGGCTCTTGATGGGCCCAGAAGGTTCTAACAAGAAACATTTTGCAATAATTGCTGGCACATACAATGCCTCAGTGATACAGCCCTTATGCTGGGGCTTTCTACAAATTAATTTAAATGAGAAGCTGGTGCCATGATTATCCCATTTCACAGAGGCTGAAACCAAGGCACAGAGAGGTAAACAATTTGCCAAAAGTCACTGAGCACATGAGTGACACAACCAGGATTTGACTCTGGGCATTCTGGAAATCTAAGCTTTTCATTCTTCTGCCTCAGTTTCCTTATCTGTACAAAAGACTCTAATAATAGTCTTTCTATCATAGAGTCATCTGGAAGTTTAAGTGCATGCAAAGCCCTTAAAGAGAACACAATGGAAATCATCACAAGCCATACATGTTGTTGAAAACTTTCGAATAATTGGGGCACCTGGCTCTCTCAGTCAGTAAAGCATGTGACTCTTGATCTCCGGATTGTGAGTTCAAGCCCCACATTAGGCATAGAGATTACTTAAAAAAAAATTTTTTTCCCCCAGGGGCACCTGAGTGGCTCCATCAGTTGGTCTCAGCTTGGGTCTTGATTTCAGGGTCATGGGTTTGGCCTGCCTTGGGCTCTACAGTGGATGTGGAGCCTACTTAAACAAACAAAGAAAACAAATAACTTCCCCTCTACTTAAAGTTCTTGAGGGGCGCCTGGGTGGCTCAGTGGGGTAAAGCCTCTGCCTTCAGCTCAGGTCATGATCTCAGGGTCCTGGGATCGAGCCCCGCATCGGGCTCTCTGCTCAGTGGCGAGCCTGCTTCCTCCTCTCTCCCTCTCTGCCTGCCTCTCTGCCTACTTGTGGTCTCTGTCTGTCAAATACATAAATAAAATCTTTAAAAATAAATAAATAAGTAAAGTTCTTGAAATTTACATTTGCGAAAGTAGACTGACCTGCTCAAGTTTTGAAAAAAAAAGTTTTCAGAAAAAGGAGAAAAAAACAAGTTTTCCAAGTACCCAAGATCAGTTTCTTTTTTTCTTTGGGGGGATTGGGGGAATAGAGGGAGAGAGAGATAATCTTAAGCAGGCTCCACGCCTGTGGGACTGAGTCCCCCAACACTGAGATCATGACCTGAGCCAAAAAATCAAGAGTCGGATGCTTAACTGACTGAGCTACCCAGGCACCCCCAGGATCAGTTTCTAAATTTAAGTGATTTTTCATTTCAGCACTTGTTTCTGTACAGTAATTTTTATTACAATATTTTTGGGAAAGGGTAGCCAGTTGGGAAGTTTTCCTCATATCCTTGCTCCTGTCCACTCCGCTTCCCTGCTCTTTTAATAAGCACACTACCAGTTTAAGTTTAAATTAGGTAAAATGTAAAACTCAGCTCCTCAGTTACCCTGGGCACATTTGGAGTGCTCAGTATTCCCACGTGGCTGCTCAGTGGCTGTGTGGGAGAGCACGGATCTCACCGGTTCCATCTTTGCAGAACTCTGCAAAGTTCTCTTGGACAGTGATGCCGTGACACATAGTGGGCACTCACTGGAAATGGAATTGTTTGCAGTACTGAGTCTGTGCAGAGCGCTGAGCTTGGTGCTCTCCTCTGTGCACGGATCCCCAGATGGCCCAGTGAGATGGACACATCTATCATCCCATTTTACAGAGGAGGACACTGAGGCCCAGCGAGACGAGTCACCTGCCAGAGGACACAGAGCTGGAACTCCGAGGAAGTCAGCTAGAGACTGGTCCCTTCCTCCACAGCGCTGCCCCGCTCACTCTCTCCCCAGGATGGAGGCAACGCCAGCCCCCAGCCCCAGCCCCAACTATCCCCATCTGTACAAAGTCCTTGTCCCCAGGAAATTGTATATAAATCATCCTTTTCTACCAGCTCTTGCCAGGTACTGTCTGTAGATGGGACAGGGGGTGTGAGTCCTGGTTTTTCTGTTAATGCAAAGTTTCATCTGGTACCAAGAGACCCCCGACAGGGGCCTGAGCCAGTGCGTGGCAGCCCTGGACCCTGACCACGTCAGAAGCTGGCCTGTCGGGGCTCCTGATCTATGTGGGAGAAGACTCGCGACCCAGGGAGCTTCGGTTGAGCAGGACACACGTTCTAATGTCAGCAGTCCAGGCACTCCGGGAGCCCGCGGCGGGTGACCTGACCCAGCCCGAGATCCCAGGACGCGCTTTGGAGGAAAGGACTCTTGAGCCAAAAAGTCCTGGGACTGTGAGAGGTCAGATCTGAGAAGGTAGGGCTGGAGGGGGGCCATCCGAGGCAAGCGGTACAGTCGAAGAGAAGACCCAGCAGTCATCTGGAAGCCCTTGTACACTCTTAGATCTCATAGGGAAACCTACTTCCACCTGTGGGTTTTTGTTTTTTTTTTTTTCATTCATTTGACAGAGAGAGAGAGATATCACAAGTAGGCAGAGAGGCAGGCAGAGAGAGAGGGAAGCAGGCTCACCGCTGAGCAGAGAGCCCGATGCGGGGCTCGATCCCAGGCCCTGAGATCATGACCTGAGCCGAAGGCAGAGGCCTAACCCACTGAGCCACCCAGGCGCCCCTACTTCCACCTGTTTTACAGATGGGGATACTGAGCCCCACACAGGGCCGCGGTTCGCCCAGGTCAGGAGGAGGCAGAGCAGGCACCAGAATCCAGACGTTTAAGCCCAGACTGAGCGCTGAAGGGAGAGCCCACTTGCCCCCTGCGGGCCACCACGAGCCCTGCAGCCTGCTGTCGCGTTAGCGAGTGACGGCGCATCCCTCCACCGCAGACACCCCGGCAACCCCCGAGAGATTAGCAGCCCCTCAAAAATATGGCGGCCAAGGCGGACCAGCCCCGCCTCAGCAGAGCCGCTTCCTACCCCCACGTGATCTCTCGCCCGGCACACCAATGGCCACCTAAGAGCCGACGAGAAGGATTGAACCCGGATTGGACAGTTAGAAGACGACCCGCCTTCTAGCGTGGCCCCCTCTGCGCACGCGCGAGACACTTGGGCCAATGAGAAGACGGAAAGCTGCCCGTACAGCCCCTGCGGCGTCACTTCCTCCGCCCCTGTTTCAAGGGATAAGAAACCCTGCGCCGAACCTTCCTCCTTTCCCAGGCGGCTGCCGAAGATGGCGGAGGGGCAGGTGCGGGCTCCGCGCGTGCCGGGGAGGCGTGGGGCGGGGTGGGTTCCAGGCCAGAGCAAGGTTGGGCCCTCTTTTCTCTCGTAGGTGCATTGTGAAACCTAAACTCGATAATTGAGCGAAAAGCGAGGCTTTGGACCTAAAAGAAGTCTGTAGCAGGGGAATAATAAGAAAATACCGTGACGGTTTCTTTGACCCGGGGCTGACTAAAACGCGGCATCGTCCCTTCCTCGGGCGACTGTGGGGGTTCCCAACACGGGGAGAGTTACTTTAAAATTAGGCCTTGTTTGCCTTTTTCTTAGCCAGGCCTTGGCTGAATCGGGCCCGTGTGTCCCCAGCGGCGAGGAAGCGCGCGGGAAGCGCCTGGGCGGCCTTGAGGTGATAGAGTAGACCGAGGATCGGCCAAAATGGAGGCCGCTCCCGCCCTGCCCCAGGCCCGCGTCACTTCACCTTCGTGGGAGTGCTGGTCCGTGCCCTGCAGCTCTGGGCGCTGTGGTGGGAGATCTTACCCGGTGGTTCCCGAGTTCCTGCCTACAGGACGACCGGGAACGCGTTGCTAGTCTTCCCTTGTTCGTTGGGGCTGACGGATGCTTTAAAGGCGAGGGAGCTGATAAAAGGCTGCGCTGCCCTTAATTACCTGGGGGCCCTCGAGGGGCGCAGCAGAAGCTTGGCTCCGAGTTCCTGGACTCCTCGTCTGATTTCTTCCATGCAGGGGAGGGGATGGCTGGGGAAAGGGTGTCCGTGTGAATTGGGTGTAATGAGTCCGAGCGGTAGGGGAAGGAAGAGGTGCGACGGTGGAGTCAGGAAGGTGGTAGAGTTCTCGGAACACGTGTTCTGTGCCCTCACTGAGTGCCTGGTACAGTCGGCCTTGTGTTTGGTGTCGTTCCGTTGACTTAGCAGAACGTTCCTGAGGCAGATACTGTTATCCTCATCTTCCAGGTGAGGAAGCTGGAGATTTTTAGCCAAAGTCACATTGTCAGGAAGTCTGGCTTTAGATTCTGTACCCTTCTGCCTTCCACCAATCACAAGTGTTTAACAAGCGCCCGGTAAGAGTGGGGACGTGACTCGTGAAGAAGCTAAGGATTTGGTTTTGAGCGGTTCGTCAGGGATCCAGAGCTGAATACAGCGTAAGGTAGAGCAGAGGCTCCGGGCTATTCTGCAGGGCCTCACCTACGCTGAACCTGTTCCTTTACTGATCGTTCTGTGCTGGAAACTAATACCCTTGAGAGAATTAGCCTGTTGGGATTCCACAACTTGGTTCAGGGATTACACATTCTAGCTGGATCAAAGGACAGAGTGTTGCCAACCTTTGTTCAAATCCCAGCGCATCCTCTCACCCTTGAATATAATTGGGGCTTAAGAATTCCGGCCCTTCAGGCAGCTGAGATGTGGGGAAAGGCCCTCGTTTTATTCTGTTCACTGAAATTGTGAGTCAGCCATTTGCTTTCTTGCCCACATCTGTACAGTGGACCCTGAGTCCTAGTTTCCAGGGCTGTTCATGGGTAAGAGGCACTCGGGGATATGGTGAAAGAAACAAGTAAAAAGCCATGCTTGGTTTGGGTTGGGGGGAGTCAAACCTGAGGTTGCATCTAAGCATTTTCACTTTATTTCCACCAGGTCCTGGTGCTCGATGGCCGAGGCCATCTCCTGGGCCGCCTGGCGGCCATCGTGGCTAAACAGGTGCTTCTGGGTAAGTCTGCTCTGTCCACAGCTCCCCGGTCATGAGTCCCAACCAGCGGTCAGTGATGAGCAACAATCACCATCTTTCGTTTGAGTCTCACGACTGTGAGATCAACCCCATGCACCGCTCTGAGACCAGGCAGCTACCCCCTCTCCTGGGATCTGGGGCTCTGAGATGGAAAACTATTTTCCATCAGGCTGTTCATTTAAGCACAAATCCAGCTCTGCTGGGGTCTTGGGTTTCTTGTGCATGTGGTCAGCTCCACACGGGCAGAACCCTGTTTCCGGTTCGCAGCAGTAGCTGGGCACATGGATGGTGGCCGGTTTGTAGGTAGAGCCCTTGGGTGGCTTCTAGTCTTTGTCCTTATCTGCCTCACTTTCCTTTTCCTCTAGGCCGGAAGGTTGTCGTTGTGCGCTGTGAGGGCATCAACATTTCTGGCAATTTCTACAGAAACAAGTGTAAGTTAGGGCCTGGGAGAAGGGCTGGAGAGGGTGGACCTGGGAGATTCTTGGCCTTCACTGGCTCCAAAAGTGAGCCCACTAGTGGTGGGAAGTGCTCATTTGCGTTCCCTAACAGGCCCTTGGGAGTATGGATGTGTGTGTTGAAGAAGTTAGCATGTGGCTGGGGGCTGAGGCCTCGCACGCTCTCTCTCCCCAGTGAAGTACCTGGCCTTCCTCCGCAAACGCATGAACACCAACCCGTCCCGCGGCCCCTACCACTTCCGAGCCCCCAGCCGCATCTTCTGGCGGACAGTGCGAGGTGAGCTGGGCCTGAGGACTGCAGGGGGCGGTGGGATGGGTGGCCAGTGATGAGGACTTCTCCCACCTGTGTTCGAGTTCTCCAGACCATGAGATGACTCCACATGCACTACCATCTGAGGCCACCCCTCTACCTGTTCGGGGGGGTGAGGTGGGGTCCTTGTGAGCCCCGCAGAGCGAGCCTGCTGTGCCTCCCACCAACAGGCATGCTGCCACACAAGACCAAGCGAGGCCAGGCTGCCCTGGACCGCCTCAAGGTGTTCGATGGGATCCCGCCGCCCTACGACAAGGTGAGCTCGACGGCCGGCTGCGCAGCATTCGTGTGTCTGGCGTCCATGATGTTGCAGTTGTACCTACATTGTTTGACTCTCATGAGAACAGCACTGGCTGAGACGCTGCTCCAGCCAGCCTTCTGCCTTGCCTGTCCCTTACTCCAGGGCTCTTAAGCCCCTCTCCTTCTCCAACAGAAAAAGCGGATGGTGGTTCCTGCTGCCCTCAAGGTGGTGCGCCTGAAGCCTACGCGGAAGGTGAGTTCCAGGTTTCACCACGTTGTCTCACTAGGGGGCAGCCTTGAGGCCCGAGACTGGCAGATGATGGCTCTTCCTCACGATGGTCTGCGGATGCCACTGTGGGCAGTGCCGATAACGCCTATGGCTCAGCTGATGCCAGCAGGGGCACTGTCTCCGCGGGTGGGTGTGTCTCTGCTGGGGAAAGTTGGGTCCTGTAGGACAGCTTGTCCGCTCCCTCTCCCATAGCCGCCCTGGCCCCCCTTGCTCAGGACTTCTTTCTTCTCCCTCCCCCATAGTTTGCTTACCTGGGGCGCTTGGCTCACGAGGTTGGCTGGAAGTACCAGGCAGTAACAGCCACCCTGGAGGAGAAGAGAAAGGAGAAGGCCAAGATCCATTATCGGAAGAAGAAGCAGCTCATGGTAAGGATGGGCCAGAACCCGAGGGCACCACACTCCTGGGCAGGGCCTTGTGGGTGAACTCTCTGGACACCGTGGTTTTTGGTCCGAGGGGCCTCTGCTTGAGCCCCAGCTTGGGGCAGAGAGTACAGGTGGGTTCCCGGGCAGCAGCAATTGACCACCATCTGTCCTCTTCACCCCACAGAGGCTACGGAAACAGGCCGAAAAGAATGTGGAGAAGAAAATTGACAAATACACAGAGGTCCTCAAGACCCATGGACTCCTGGTCTGAGCCCAATAAAATTGACTGTTTGTTCCTCACGCTTGGCCTGGCCTGCCCTTCCTCCATCGCCGCCCTAGGATATGGGGACCTCCCAGGGGCTACTGTCCTCGAGCCACAGGCAGCCTGGGGCTTAGAATCCTGGGAACACAGAAAGGGTTTTAGTCATTGCTGTTAAGCTTTCTTAAAAGGTGAAGAAAAAAAACTCTTTAAGAGCTTTGAGGCATAATTGCCTGTGACCTACTCAATCCTGACAGTTCAATGAAATTGATAGTTGGAACAACTATTTCAGTGTTTGCTTAGAGGGATCGGGAAATGATCGTAGGGGAGCCCTGCATTGTGAATGTGGGTGTGTTTGAACTTGCCGCAGGCTCGGGTGCTAATACTCTGCAGCTGTTAGGGTGTGAGGGCGCTGGGGGCTAAGCCTAGGGTTGTACAGCGGTGGTTCCAGACGCGTAGCCTGGGAAGTACAGCCAAGGGCTCACAGGCACTGCCCTTGTGCTTTCCCTGTATTTTGTGATCCAAAACTAATAAATTATTTTTGAAGAAATTTGGCGTCTTTGCAGTGTGTGTCTGCTGTGGAGGCAGGCCTTTGGCAACAAGCAAAGGGGGCCCTGCTCGGGTCCCTTTCCACAGTGGTTGGATTATAACTTGTCTGTGGAGGAGTTTTTATCTACCACTTAAGGAGTTTCCTTCAGAATCCTGTATAGGTTTGTTTCTCAAAACCATCATGGCCTGAGGTTGCCCGGTGGACCTAAACCCTCACTAATTCAGCTGCAAAGTATGGAATTGTCATCTTAAAACCAACCCCATCCTTGAAGGGTAGGTGGGCTCTTCTGGCCTTGTGCCACATCCGGTGGTCTGTGTGTTGTGTGAAGAGCCAGGGAGGCAAGTAGCATTAGGCAGTGGGGATGGGAATGTGAAATCTAATGCTTCAGAAGAGGAAAGCTAGACTTTAGAGACAGATGGTGGAGGGGGAGACAGATTCAAGCAGGCTCCATGCCCAGCACGGAACCCAAGGCAGGGCTCAGTCTCACCACCCTGAGGTGACCTAAGCCGAAATGGGGTCCAGAGCTTCCCTGCCTGAGGCGACTGTGAAACTACGATCTGGAAGAGTAAATGGAGCATTGAGTAGGTACCAAGCCCTCTGCCGTCACCTGTTTCATACTGCCCTTGTAGGTTACAGTAGGCAATAATAAATCTCTATTATTTTTATTTTTATTTTTATTTTTTTAAAGATTTTATTTATTTGACAGAAATCACAGGCAGAGAGAGAGGAGGACGCAGGCTCCCTGCTGAGCAGAAAGCCTGATGTGGGGCTTGAACCTAGGACCTGGGATCATTACCTGAGCCAAAGGCAGCGGCTTAACCCACTGAGCCACCCAGGCGCCCCAATAAATCTCTTTTTAGACTTTATTTGACAGCAACAGAGGGAACAGAAACAGGGGTGAGTTGGAGGGGAAGAAACAGGCTCCCCACTGAGCAGGGAACCAGAGGTGGGACTCAATTCCAGGACACTGGGATTGTGACCTGAGCCTAAGCCGAAGGCAGACACTTGACCGCCCTCCCCAGGCGCCTCCAACTTGGAAGTTTGTAATTTAGTTCAATATTCAAATTCCTAACAATGCAGAGAAACAAGATGAATGTGATACTCATTTTACTATAATTAACAGGGTTTTTTTTGTGTTTTTTTTTAAGATTTTATTTATTTGACAGAGATCACAAGTAGGCAGAGAGGCGGGCAGAGAGAGTGGGATGGGGGAAGCAGGGTCCCCGCTTAGCAGAGAGCCCGACGCCGGGCTTGATCCCAGGACACTGGGATCATGACCCGAGCCGAAGGCAGAGGCTTTAACCCACTGAGCCACCCAGGCTCCTCAGGGCATTTTACTTTTAATTTAGGGGGCAGATGACTCACATATCTGTCATGATTAGTCTTCCCAAAATGCCCAATATGCCACAGCGACTTAACGTTTTCTCAGAATCATTTAACAAATGGGTGCTGTGTTTGCCCATCCTGGGGCTCCCCCTCACCACAGGAGCTGCCTCCAGAAGTGGCCATAATCAAGTATTAAGTTTAGCAAAACTGCTTGTTAAAGCAGCACTAATACAGTCCCCCGAAAACATGATCCCTCAAAAAGATAAATTTGGCTGTACAAACGTAAAAACTTTACACTTCAAAAACAAGCCACGGACTGGGAGGAAATATTTGCCAACCCCACCCCTTTTGAAGAACTTGTTTCCTGGATATATTAAAAAACAAAACAGGGGCACCTGGGTGGCTCAGTGGGTTAAAGCCTCTGCCTTCGGCTCAGGTCATGATCCCAGTGTCCTGGGATCGAGCCCCTCATCGGGCTCTCTGCTCAGCGGGGAGCCCGCTTCCTCCTTTCTCTCTACCTGCCTCTCTGCCTGCTTGTGATCTCTGTCAAATTAAAAAAAACACACCAAAACAAAACAAACAAAAACAGAGGGGCGCCTGGGTGGCTCAGTGGGTTAAGGCCTCTGCCTTTGGCTCTGGTCATGATCCTGGGGTCCTGGGATCAAGGCCTGGGCTCTCCGCTCATCGGGGGCCTGCTTCCCTTCCTCTCTCTCTGCCTGCCTCTCTGCCTACTTGTGATCTCTGTCTATCAAATAAATAAATAAAATCTTAAAAACAAAAACAAAAACAGGCGCCTAGGTGGCTCAGTGGGTCAAGCCTCTGCCTTCAGGTCATGATCTTAGTGTCCTGGGATCAAGCCCCACATGGGGCTCTGCGCGGCAGGGAGCCTGCTTCCACCTCTCTCTGCCTGCCTCTCTGCCTACTTGTGATCTCTCTGTCGAATAAATAAATAAAATCTTAAACACACACACACACAGAAAAACGGGCACCTGGGTGGTTCAGTAGTTAAACATCTGCCTTTGGCTCAGGTCATGATCCTGGAATCCCAGGATGGAGCCCCTCATCAGGCTCCATGCTCAGTGGGGAGTCTGCTTCTCCCTTTGCTCCTGCCCCCATTTGTGTTCTCCCTCTCTTTCAAATTAAAAAACAAAACAAAACAAAAACCTCCAAACTCCATAATAAGGAAAACCAACTACAAATTGGGGAAGAATTTGAAGAAATATTTCACCAAAGATACACAAATGGCCGATAAGCATGTTAGAAGGTGCCCAACACTGTTCATCATCAGCCGGTCAAATGGGATCTCGGCCAACCCCTTAATCCTTCGGGGGCAGACACTGAGGCTCAGAACCTCCGGGTCAGCCGCAGGAACATTTTCGAAGCTCTGTCTCGCACCCTGCCCACAGCACATGGGCGGGCCTGGCCCATCTCCGCCTCGTCTGCTAGGAGCTCTAGCACACCTTCCCATCCTGGTCCATAGCAGGGCCCAAGGGAGGGTCTTAACCTTGCTAAGCATTGGGCGCACATGGCAACGTGAGCTTCCCCAGGTCAACCAGGGTTTGCACTTCGGTCATGAAACCCTGGTTAAGTACGTCTGAAATCCTGCAGAGGCCAGAAACACTCCGTCAAGTGGTCATCCCTGGAGCTGGCTGGAGTTCATTATTGGGCGTCAAGGCTGTCTGACCCTGCGGGGCAGAAAGTCGATGTGGTAGGTTGTAACCAGCCTCAAAATGATAACAAAACTGAATAGAAACAGAAAGGAGAAAAATCAGTATATTGCAGGAAGGAAAGGAGAAAGTTTAGTTAGAAAGCAAGAGGAAGGAGGCAACTGGCTGGTTCAGCTGGGAGAGCATACGGCTCCTGATCTCAGGGTCATGAGTTCAAGCCCCATGTTGGGTGTAGAGATTACTTAAATAAGTAAACTAAATAAAAAGAAGAGAGAGAAACAGGTGTTTGGTCACGATGCGACCATATTTCCTACTGTGGGTTGTGGTCATTAAAAGCTGTGGGCTGAAATATCTCCAAACTGCCCCCATCTCCCCCTTCACTGTGAAGCAATATATATGTTTTTGCTTTTCCCTTATCATCAAAATCTCACCACCTATTCTGAGCCATTTGCAAAATACCAAGCATTTTAAAAACCAGAGAGGAAATCACACCTAATCTCACCACCTGGAGATGCAAACCACTGGGGCAAAGTCATGCATTTCCTTCCAGGCTTTTTTCTAAGTCACTTTTGTTAGCTTAGCACACGCTGCAAATAACAACTATAGGGCCTGCCTTTTTTTTTTTTTTTAAACTAAATATAATAAATCCTTATCAAGTCGTTCAAAAACTCCAGAAATTACTTATGTCTTCAAAAAATAAAGCTACTACAAGGTCGGGGGTGGGGAAGACATAGAAGGTTTTAAAACAGAAAAATGAAAAGTCGGGGCACCTGGGTGGCTCAGTGGGTAAAGCCTCTGCCTTCGGCTCAGGTCATGATCCCAGGGTCCTGGGATGGAGCCCCACATCGGGCTCTCTGCTCCACAGGGAGCCTGCTTCCTCCTCTCTCTGCCTGCCTCTCTGCCTACCTGTGATCTCTGTCATGTCAAAAAAAAAAAAAAAAAACAACCTAAAAAAAAAGAAAAATGAAAAGTCCTTCCCTCTGAATGGTACCCCCAAAGGGACTGAAGCAATTACAGTTAAAAATGTTTCATTCAGGGGCACCTGGGTGGCTCAGAGGGTTAAGCTTCTGCCTTCAGCTTAAGTCATGATCTCAGAGTCCTGGGATCAAGCCTCGAGTCAGGCTCTCTGCTTAGCAGGAAGCCTGCTTCTCCCCCTCTTTCTGCCTGCCTCTCTGCCTACTTGTGATCTCTCTGTCAAATAAATACAAATAAATAAATAAAATCTTTTTTTTTAAAGATTTTATTTATTTATTTGACAGACAGAAATCACAAGTAGGCGGAGAGGCAGGCAGAGAGAGGAGGAAGCAGGCCCCCCGCTGAGCAGAGAGCCCGATTCGATGCGGGGCTCGATCCCAGGACCCCAGGATCATGACCTGAGCCAAAAGCAGAGGTTTTAACCCACTGAGCCACCCAGGAGCCCCAATAAATAAAATCTTTAAAAAAAATGTTTCATTCAGGGGAGGCTGGCAGGCTCAGTCACCAGAGCAAGAGAGACTCT